TGTGTCTTGTCCCACTTCCCCGCATCGCTAATGAGTCAAATATTGCGCACAGTTAGAATAATACTATGATGAGAACAGCACGATGCTGTTCATTAAATACAAACGTATCACTCACATAGTAAAAGGCGACTATAATTTCCCCGAATACAGTTAATTAATTAAGTCACGGGGTGTAAATTTCCACAGTCACTCATGTTTCTGTATTTTCATCTAGATGAAACATCGTTGGTCGATTTCTGCTTTCTCGGTTTGTCATTAAGAAACGAATTGTAGAGTAAAATCTGAATACATAACCTACTGGTCGCTTTGGTGGAAATGCTTTGAGACACTAATGTTGAGGTAAGAAATAACGAATAGTTACTATGAAGTATAATGTAGCACTATTCAACAATAGTGACTAATCGGAATGTAGACAACTTTTACACTTGATAACTCTGTAGCCTGTAATAATGTGTAGGTTAGATGTTAGATTTTTGTTCTTCAGCAGCAGCAGTTCATTATAAAGTGGTCTTTATTACAGACGTCACTATTTTAGTAAACATTATCTAGTTTATTATAATCTATTCACAAGTAACTCGTTATCTATCGATTCAAACTTATTCCTGAGCTACTTGTGTCCATCCGTTTATTACTTATTTTTTTGGTAACTAAACAAAACATTGCATCCCATGCTGTTAAATCTTAACATTGTGCTCGTTTTTAGACATTTATCCTTTTATACAGGAATAAAGAATTAAAAGTAACATTGTGTGTTACAGTTTAAACTGGCCTGACTCAGTGAAAAAGTGTTTTTCATTGGGTTCCTGTTATGCGACAAAAACACATTACAATACAGAATAAGAACAGAAACAATCAACAGATGCAAAGCAACAAACACAGGCAGCAACATGGACAATGCAGAGATTTAAACATGACCTTGGTGATAACGTGCTTCAGCGTATCATGGTGCAAACATGTTTTTAAAGGATTATAACCAATGCATCCTCTGCCTACGCTAGTTTGAATCTGTGCGCCTTTAGTTTATTATTTGGGCTATTTTACCGACATTTCCCATCCAGTGGACAAAGTGCAAACCCTGACGTTATTGTGCTAAAGTTTGTCCCAAAGTGTGACTCCAGTTTCATCAGGAACTTTTCTTTGAAAGCTGACAAAACGCATCAGACCTGTTGGAAACCTCAAACCGTGCCATAAAATTTCTCGAAGAAAACTCTCGTTTCTTTTTTCTTTATGATATGATTTCGTTTCGATATATTTAATCAGTTTTCTCGCATACTATAACAAACACATTTTCCGCTTCGACAGGTCAGAAACTAAACTGCTAAATATTTTCGATAATTAGTAAATTCACGACTGCAGACGAAAATATTCCACACTGTCATAAACCTGCTCTATAAAACCCTATTTCTAGTCTACAAATAATACTTCCTATGCTCAGTACTTCTCAATAGGTCTATGCAAGAGTTTCAAATGTACCCTCAGGTCCAAAATGGACATAATTAGAAAATAATTAGAGAACCACTTACAACTTTTAAATATTTTCCCCACGCACAAACTCTGTATACTTGTTTTAAGCTGGTCTCTGTCAATTATATGATATAGATTAAACGCTATAGCCTCTTTGACTTCCACTAACTCTGCAGACTGTTGAGATTTCAACACTTGGAGGATTGCAGGGAGCATTTCTCAGCCCAAAGAACTTGAACGAGGGAAGCAGCAAGTTTATTACCAAGGACAATAGACGGCGGATAGCTCGTCTTCAAAGGGCCTGGAAACACAACCAGACTGAAGCTCCTCAATTTGGCTCCTGACACCCTAAACACGAAGGACGGAGGGCAGTAAAGGACACTAAAAACTCAACACTAAAACTTGTCCTAATTTTGTAATCGTGGGAGCCCATCAGCTTTGTGACATAAAGATGCAGACTGTTGGCGTAACTTCACCTAACTCAATTCAGTGGGTGCATACACAAACCTCTGCATTTTAATGTATAAACAGGGAATATTTGAAGCCCAGTTGGCCCTCAGGAGTTCTGCTGTTTGTGATGAAACGCTACGTTTTGTGGGAAATGTATAGCAAAGCAAAAGAAATTAAAATGAACATTTGCCAGGACGCGTTTATGGTAAGATGACAATGAAACAAATCTGTTAATTTCCTTTCTTTCAGTTAGGATTGATTTGTTTATAAGTTTTAGATGCGATAAACAAAGTTTCATTTTAATTCACGTTGCTCACTGTGTTTTAGTTTATGTGGGTTACCCGCGATTTAAACATGTTTTTATATATCACAGTAGTTGGGCGTGAATATTGAAAACACTCTGTACATATTTTTGAATATATCTTAAATATGTTTAAGTTATAAACAAAACCTAAAATATATTACAAAAGCTACAGCATAGCTTTAAAAACAAAAATAAAACAGTTTCCTTTCACTTTAGAAATAATGCAGTTGGTTGTGTAATATTGTTGACTTTATTTAGTATTAATTTCCAGACTTTTACAGTGAAATGTTTTAGATTTAAACACTTGTTCTTCTGTATCATTGTATTAAATTTTCTACATTATAATTTTAAGTTAATTTGTTTTAATCTCTAAAATAAGTGTCGCCATTACGCACGTTTTGCCATCTTTTTTGTTTCTTTTTCTACATTTAAACACCCTAGAAACACTAATTTGCAACAAACATGCTTGCAACAGAGATGTTCAAGAAATGCACGTTTATGTAGCCTAGTGTTCGCACTTGTCCTACCTTTGACTGCTGCAGATGTTGTTGTAGACACACTGCTGCACATACACACACACACACACACACACACACACACACACAAACACTCGATGGTCCCTCAGTCTGCCACAAGCACGTGCCCAGTAAATCTGCATAACTCCAGTGATGACTGAAACTGCAGATGATGTTTAATTGCAGAATTAAGCAACTGGCAAACAATGAGAAGAGCAGAGACAGCATGGCAGGATCAAGGCCACACATGAAGTTGCACTGCCACCTATTGGATTACAGCCGCAACTACTCACATGATTACTTAATGATGATATTGGGAAAGTTGTCTGGTTTAAATGGTAAAGGAGTATTTTCTATATCAGTGTGATGTTTTTAGGCTGAGTGGTTCTGTGAAAAAAATATAAAATAAGCCTGTTTGAGCATGGACAAAATGGAGTCATAAGGAACCCAATTGTTGTCTGTCATTAAAGTGATCAGTAGCAATGACACTTATCATCAAACGATCATCCTTAAATGCGTTTTTCCGCCACTGGATCATTTGTGCTACAAAAGCAACTGCTCCAACTCTTCATTTTGTCTTATTTTATTTTCATTTCTATTTGACAGGGACAATGCAATTTAACATAGTTCCAGTGCAGAGTATGGGGCTGATGTGTTGCACAGAGAGTTTATAGCGTTGCTAATTTTCAACTCTTGTACCTAGTTAGGCTTCTACATGTCGACCTAAAATGTTGTTAAAAATACACAGTTTAAAATATTTTAAAACTACAATACACTGTAAACATGGAAGACACAATAAAATACATAAACCACAACCCAAATACAAGACACACACCACAATGCAAACATCACAACATATCCCACAATACATCTACTGCAATAGACATACCACAATACATGTACTAAAGTACATATACCAACATATCAGTATTTTGTCAGTATTTTTTGACTTCCCACCCCTGACACACACACACACACACACACACACACACACACACACACACACACACACACACACACCTCACTTAATCCAAGTCTCAGGAAACATTGTACTGCGAAAAACTAATATAATACCAGAAAAATTGAGGCCTATTAAAAGTTAGTTTCCCCTGGGTGTTTGCTCTCAAGTGTAGTGTTGTATAACGGAAATACTACAGTGATTGTAAAACACATACATGTATACAGTTCACAAGATAAGTCCCAGCAGGAGGAGTGTGTTGAAATAGTTCTTTATAGCGAGACTCTTGTAGTTACTGCTGGTGAAATGCACTTGGACTTGGATCGCTAAATTTACGCATGGTGTTTACAAGTTCAGTTTGACACTTTTAAACGTATAGGATGGAAAAATCATTTTGCGACGGAAAATATTTTTGTGTTTTATTGTAAGGTGCTAATATATAGATGATTTAAATGTCGTGATTGTATTATAGTGAGGGTGCCATGAAGTGGTCTCTTTCTTTACTCCGGAAAGTAGTAGTTACATTTTTATAGACACTATCAACCTGAAGTGCACAAGTAGGTTGAGTTTATTCTAGATGTGGCCTTAAGAGTATAAGGTGTGTGTGGAAAGCTGCAGGTGGTCAAAGCGCGTCTTAAAATAGTGTTTTTAGCCTAATTTAAGAGTTTCTGTATAAGTCGATGCGCAGTTTTGGAAATGCGGATATGTTGCGTGTGTCCTCAGCTCGACGCCGACATAAATGAAGGCATTGTTTATATAGGAGTGATCACAAGAAAGCAACACCACCAAACAGCGTACTGTGTTTAATATAATGTAACCTAATATAAAGGCACTCTGATGAATGTCAATACAAGAAAATATTCTGGACGTTACATCCCCGAAAATATTTTGTATGATTATAATAAATATGTGTATGCATTGTCTCGGGTCTCCCGTGGTGCATTTAAGGCCCTGCATTCACCCTTGTTCTATATGAGTCAGTCCACAGAGTCACCTTGTTACTCCTCATGTCACAGCACTATAACACCAAAACAGATTCCACGCATGTGCTTTTGAAATGAGACCCTCTGACACTGAAATTGACATGAGCCAAATATTCTTCTGATATTCCAGACAACACAGATGGTTAGAATTTAACTTCATCCCCCCACCCACTCAATACCAAAATATTTCCTCATGGAGTATTTTTGCTTTGCAGTACTGGGAGCAAGGGTGGGGCGGAACAACATATTTTGCATATCACGTGACGCTGTATTAACAAATCAACAATTACCTACCCTTTATTCTTCAGGAGTTGCTAAAAGGCTTGCAAGAAGCGTTTGAGGAAAGCTCCATGGAAATGTGTGAGCGGAATCCTTTAAATCCCGGCTATGTTGGTTCTCTGTTGAATTTTACTCCTCCTGAGTCGCTGTATTTCTCCAACTTGCGGGGTAATGGAGCCCACATACCCGGGCTGCACCAGATCCCTTACAATAGGAGAGAGGTGTGCACGCTCCCGTGGACTTCCTCAAGTTCGTGCACGTCTGGACCAGCAGCACCACCACAGAGCCGCGCCTTTGGAGGCTACTGTCCGCCGTTTCTGTCCAACTCGGTGTCTATAAATACGAACTCCTCCAGCAGCGGCCACGTCAAGGCGCATCTGGAGGAGTCGGCTCGATGCTTTCAGGTCACAAACCACAAGACTGAGGATTCTGGCAGGCGAGATGAGGTTTACCCCGGGGAGCATGGGGCCGCCAGTGACCGCGGCTACTCAGAGCTGGACAGCCGGTCTCACAGCTCTGCGGCCCAGCTCGATCCGGATTCAGCTGCGTTGAATGTGAACGGCACCAAACAGGAGCAGAATCCCATTCACCCATCATCCAGTCACACATGCTCCAGGACGGCTTTTGCAGAAGGTTAAGTAGCCTGTTTTGCATGAATATTTTGTTGCTTCCACTTTTTCATTATGATAACACTAAAGGGACTCTAAGTAGATTTGTGCCTCTGGTTATTGTGTCTTATTTTATGCCAATCCTCTCTGGTGATCTCCTGCCACATCGTTATGAGACTAATCAATTTACATTTGCGAATATAGGCTAGTTTGTGTGTGACATTATAGAGCCTAACGTTCATTTGACTGTCTATGGCTATTTTATGGCCGGTTAATATCTCCTGTGGCATGATTATTATTTTAATATTCCCATAATATCCTTACAGAAGCTACTGTGTCTGGGGCTCATGGTAATATCAGCCATATTTTCCTATACGTACAGTAGGCGAGCCCTCTAATATTTATATAATGTGATAAAACCAATTTATATTTTTGTAAGATGTGAGCCACACTATTAGCCGCAGTGCCACAGGGAGCAGTTAATTCTCTTCAGTCTCCATCCCTGTTCCTGAGCTTGGTGTTAATTTAAAGTATAAAACTTGTTTCTACCTCTGCTCCCTCCAGGTGCCCCATGGTGCTCGTCACAAGTGAAAACCAGAAAGAAGAGAAAGCCTTACTCGAAGCCACAGCTGGCTGAACTTGAGAATGAATTTATGACGAATGAATTCATCAACAGACAGAAAAGGAAGGAGTTGTCAGAGAGACTGGACCTGAGTGACCAACAAGTGAAAATCTGGTTTCAGAACCGGAGGATGAAGAAGAAAAGGCTGATGATGCGCGAACACGCTTTCTCGGCGTACTGATGACCTTTGGACTTGATCGTGACCAGCAGCGGACAGAATACGTATTGTACTATGAATGTTGCAGCTCATCACATGCCCTCTCGGTTTGTGGCACGGACTTGTATTTATAGATATGTATGAAAATGTTTATATTCCTGTCACATAATAGGCTCCAGTTTCATCAAGCCCCAAGTTCAATGATATTAATACTTATAAAATGGATCCAGATTAAGATATAATCTACTCTACTGGTCATTTTTTGATACTGAGATTCTCCAAATGCGCACTAGGCCCTGACTCCTGCTGGCCTGTACCCGCGGATACAATAAACATTTAGCAAATTGTTTTTCATCCAACTCAAAAGTCTATAAACTATGACCTATTTAAACAGGAATATGTTTCTTTATGTGTTTGTGTATTTTGTATGATGGTCTGCGCATGTGGTGTGTGGGCCTATAATGTGGAAGCAACAGTCAAGTTCATGTTTACGGACGGGTCAGTTTTGCCAAAATATATTCTAATTGCATGTCTATTTCCTAATTGATGTTATTCAAATAAATGCCTGATTTCCCCCCAGTTTATTGTTAATCTGATTAAATGAGCAGCTTTGCGTTGTTTTGTGTTTTTCATGGCCGCATTTAGAGTCCAGACGTGGAGGAAAGGATTGCGCCGCATTTAGTGCTGAAGGTGTTTACTCCAAATGCCTGGAAAACAAGTGTTTGTGGATACAAGACATCCGGATAGTGTTGGATTGAGCTACTTTATAAGTGTATTTAAATAAGAGTGGATTTTTTTGTTGTCAGGCCAGGTGTTGTGCGTAAATATGCTGCACAAACACACATCAGATGTAATCAACCTTGCTCAGTTGATCCAGTCTTTTAAAAATACACAATTAATGAAAGAATATTTCCTTATTTCATTTCGGAATGAACATATCTATAAATAATCACAGAAAGCATGTTAGTGGTGAGAATACGCATTCAACGCGCCATCTCTTTACGCACGGGCTCAGGTTTTGTAAAATGGACGCAACCTGCAAATGAATACCTTTCAGAATAAAGATAATTTTTAAATTGCTTGATTACGAGTTATTGTGCATCATGTGAATCATTTTATATTTTAGGCAACGTGTGGAATGACGACTAAGACCTTTTGGCTTCATTTATATATATTGAGTTCACGCTCATTCAGCCAGTCGCTCACTAGTTGATCAGTATACTTATGTGTCATCTGAACATGTAAAAGGTGTCAATAGTTTGCACCTCTCCCACCAGATTAGTCTGATTTTTAAATAGAGGTGAAGAGGATGTACTTCGGAGACCTGAATGTTGTTCTTGGCTGACTGCAGCGGTGAAGAGATCAGCGTATAGGATGTGCGTGTGTGGCTACCTTTCACTGAATATAAACTGAATAATCCTCAATTTATACATAGATCATGTATGCATGAAATGAATGTATTTGATGTCTTTATACACAGTTATTTTAATTTAATTTCTAGGAAAGCACCCCTGTTCACTTTAATGAAACATCCTAGCCTGCACTTAGCTGTCCCTTTCGTAAATGTCTGTCTTTAGGTCCATCAAGCAGCTTCCAAAAGAGAAAATTCAAATCTTTTTCCAGCCCAAATCACCAGCTGCTTTGTAACAAATATCATGTCGTGATCATGCTTTATTTAAGTTGTATACCCAGTCGAAAATACTTATAAATGTACTTTATTTTGACTGGATTTTCAACATCAAAATGCTTCTTTAAAAACTTATATTTGAGCATTTTCTTTAACGTTCTTTTGTGCCTATGTGCAGACGCGTAAAACAGCCTGCACCACAGCAGCAGCAGCCCTCTGTCTCACACACTCACTCACACACACACACGCACACACCCAGACACAGGCAGAACCTCCACATGTCAGTAGGAGGTTACTGTGGCTTTGACCAAATGGATCTGGTGTAATTCAGAAGTCATATATGCATCCTTTAATTTTTTCAGAGACATTGCTGCACTTTAAACGCCAAACTGGCTCCTCTGTGCGTAATAGAAGCAATTTTGTTGGTGTGTGTGTGTGTGTGTGTGTGTGTGTGTGTGTGTGTGTGTGTGTGTGTGTGGTTTGGACATATCTAGCTGGGTCATTGTTTACTGTTATCCAAAGTATATCTTTACCAAAACACTTTGTTGTCGCTTTCACATTGAAGTTGAGAACTGACAAAGTTGCAGTCTAGAGGTCACACATGGAGAGACTTTATTTAAAGGCTTAAATTCCAGGATTTAACCACCAACAGTTTATACGTGAAACATTACATGAGGTGAATCTATTAATGCAGCCTCCCATTACATCATTATCACGTCATCATCACCGCATCGCTGCAACAAGAACATACCACTGCAGTCCCACTAAAGGTTCATGGAAGTCAGGGTAACATTTTGAACCCAGTAATGAGATGCTTCTTCCATTAATGAGTCTTACCAATCTATTTTTTCCACTTTTGATATTTTATTTTGTGGAGCTGCTCCTACTAAATGTTTCCTTTTTATTGGTCCAATCTTGATATAATTTCAGTATACTATTTTGCACACAATCTGCACTCACACACACTCATACTGCGGGCCTGTTGTGCTTCAACTCGAGGTTTGTCTGTTTTTCCTCAGCTTAAAATCCTCCCCAAACAACGCGTTTCACCTACTATTAGTTTTTATTACTCAGACTATTTTGAAGGGCTACACTGAGTTCTCTTTGCGTCAAATACGCAGCCCTTTTTCCTGCAGTATTTGTTGCTTTATTGCTTTACTGCCAAACGCAGCCAGACAGCGTCATATAGCTCCTCAAGATAGTGGGGGCGCCAAAACAAAGTTAAGGTCAAGTTAGTTAGTAAGGCTGTGCATTACTACTTCCCACAATATTAACATAAAGCTGCTTGTTTGTGAGGAGATAGAAAATAAAAATGAGAAATGTATCAACTAAATATGAACATTTTTGTAAAGTAGGGTCTAGTTCAGTCTCTATGCTATTTGGTTAAATTGTAATATTAAAGTTGATATTACGCACGAGAAAACAGGCCCAGCAACACGACAATTTAGGCTGAATTCGAGTTTTTTGTGCCTCAAAACTTGTAATTGTTGCTTGTAAAACAGTCATTTGAAATGTGAAATGTTGAGTTAAAATGTGAATAATCTAATTTTGCTGGGCGCATACATGAAAGTCAACGTTAATGCTCAGGACGTTAAACATGACGCAATATTTTAGCGCAAACGCGTCAAGGAATAATTGATAACAATGGAAATAATAATGGCAGTAATTGAGAGTCCACATTTTAAAATGCTGCACAACAAAAGACAAAAAAGAAAGCTACAATCTAAAAGAAATAGTGGCACAAGTGATGAGCAACAGGTCCCCTAAACTTTGTATTCTTGTCTAAGAATTTAAAGTTATTTAGTTTGAAACTATAATTTTATTTTTGTAACATTTTTTTAACATGTCACTGCAATACTTTTGATTTTTGGTGATACCTACAAAGTATTTTTGCTCTCTGTAGGTTGTGCGTCGGATTAATTTACGAAAATATTCTGATTTTTACCCTATTTTTTCTACAAATGTACAGACTTGTGTTTTCCATGCTGTTTACTGCCTGAGGAGTTTCGACGTGAAGTGTGATAAAGGCTGAAAACAGAGAACTCGACCACAGAGCTGATTTTACCCCCAATAACAATAAAGCCAGTCTCCTTTGAGCTACTTCCACATTGCGTGTGACCTTCAGGCTTAAAGCGGCGAAGAATGTTTGTCCTCTGCCTGCAACACTGGCCTTCAAATTAGAGCTGCATTACCACTGAAGGTGCACAATGTGCATGATAATTTTGAGTTAAATGTCCAACATCACGCTCTGCACAAACACTGCGGAGTACGTGAATTTCTTTAAACATATTTCCTCCTTCCTTTGCTTCCTTCCTTTACTTTCTTTCCTTTATACGCGTAAAAAAAATAAAGCATGAAAATAGAAATCATACTCACAGTGGCAAACAAAAAATACAGATGCAGTCTCGCAGACGTGTATCCGTTCACCAGTGTTTTAACTCCGTTTTCTCCTCCGAGAAGAGAGGCCTAAACTCTGCAGGCATGGCTGCCTTCGTGCAATAAAATGATTTGGGTGCAGAGGCTTGTTGGTGAATGCTTGGTGGACATCACCTAGACCACAGACGGTCAAAGCCAGTTGTTTTGGACTTGGCCATGCTGAATGTGCACAGTGATTCATGCTTGCGATTGACTTAGCTTGTGTTTATTTGTGGCATCCAAAATCAACTCTGCTTTATTTTTCAGCAGCATACCGTGCTGTTTTGTTTGGCTGTTGTCACGCGCGTCCATCTGCATTTATTATTAAGGTGTAACAAATGAAAAGCAAACCGGATGCTATGTTTTAACATTCTAACAGTCTGATTTTAAAGCAGAGGCAAATATGGGCTTGTCAGCATGCTTAGCGGTGGAATTTATCATCATTTTGTGGTCTTGTTATTTTTCTTGTGGCGCCTGAGCCTTATTTTGCAGACCAAGATAATTGTTTCTGACAATAACTTCAAGTATTTTCCTGCTGTGTATCTAAATGTCTTCCAACCATCATGGTGCGCAGTGATTACACGCAATGAAGCCTAAAATTTATTTGCATAAAAGCCGAGCTAATGAGTCGCTTGTGAATCAAACAGGCTTCTGTGCAGCTATGTGTGCAGGCACGGTGGCCCTGGTGCCATTCCCTCCAAGCTTTGCATTAAATGCGGAGGTCAACTTCAATGTTTCCACCCTAACTGTTGCTACAAACACACGGCGCACACTCCAAAGTGCGCAAATCTACTGCCGATAGAAGGCGTGTGTCTGTCATTACGTGTCATTATACAGTGAGGATGCTGCTGTAAAGCTTTCAATTAAATGTTCCAGCGGTGCTTCACAAATTTCTTTTTTTTTCCGTGAGCTATAGGGCAAGAAGGCTTGAGAGGAGTTTCCTCTGCAGCCAGGGAGCCAATGAAGTCTCTTGCATGCGCTCACATGAGTTTTTCCGGACAGTTTTTAATGACTGATATTGATGTATGGTAATTTCTTGGCTGGATCACATGACACAATTACCTCAAGAATCGATCAAGATGTATTGCAGGTCTGCCTACGTTTCCGATTTTTTCTCCCTGGCGGGGTCTTTCCACGCGCCTGTGGTGCTATAGATGGACAAAGTTTAACACAGCCAGGCTGCCAATTCCTCTCCTCTGTTGCAAAGAGGAAAAGGGAAGAAGAGATATGACGGAATACGATGATCGCAGCTGTGCGTCAAATATGTATTTACCGAGCTGCACTTATTACGTTTCGACGCCCGATTTTACATCAGTCTCCTCCTTTTTACCGCAGACTACTTCGTGTCAGATAAATTTCCCCTATTCACCCAACATAGCCCAAGTCCAACCTGTTCGAGAAGTCGCTTTCAGGGATTATGGACTGGACCATCCCAGCAAATGGCACTATAGGGGCAATTACGCATCTTACTACTCAACGGAAGAGATAATGCACCGGGACTTGATCCAGTCCTCCAGCAGCAGGGCGGATGTGATATTCAAAAACGAGTCCTTTTACGGCCACCACGGGGGGACCAGCTCGCCCTGCAATTTCTTCACCGGTGTCGGCCGAAATGGGGTTCTCCCCCAGGGCTTCGATCAGTTTTTGGACACTCCTAACTCGGACAAGCCCAACGCGGAGCACCCCAAACAAAAGACAGACTCTGCTGCTGCCGGAGATGCTGCGAATAACAATCAGGCTTTAACCAAACTGGAGCAGCACAAAGCTGACCCGAGCGGGAGCGCCGACGAGGACTCATCCTCCAACTGCGGCGACAAGAACAACCAACAGAGTAAGTCTTTCCCTCTTTGTTTTGGATATAAGGTGTGCAAGTTAGACAATGGAGTGTCTGGGCTGCACTGTGTGTCCACCACCGTGGCCGTCCTGGGTTATGTGGCTCTTTATAAGCAGGCAAAAGCTTTTATATCCCTATAAGATTTAGTTTACGGTTGTAAAGGTATTTACAATGGGAAACCGTTAAGTTAAACATACTTTAAAGGTTGCCTTGTGTCTGATAAAATGACTGTGTTGCTGGGGGTGATGTGTATTGATGGGGGATTCAAGAAAAGGGTTTTATTAAAGTTTATTTCATCGGTTTATAGCTAATATTGTGCAGATATAACAACACTTTGGGGGGATGCAATAGTCTACCTCTATACAGTAACCTATGCGCACAAATCAGAGCAGTATAAGTTCATTTTAATGCAAATTCCGCTGTTGTTGTTCCTCCCAGTGTGTGTGTTTTTGTGTGTGTGTGTGTGTGTGTGTGTGAGAGAGAGAGAGACAGAGGGCCATTGTGCATGACCAAATAAATAAACACCCAAATAAATGCATCTGTCATCCTCTTATCTACATTTCAGTCCAATATTTGGAGCCTGATCTTCAAATTTTCCCCACATTTTCTCTCCTTGTGCAGGTTCATCAACCAAGTCCAGGAAGAAGAGGTGTCCTTACACCAAATACCAGATCCGAGAACTTGAACGAGAGTTTTTCTTCAACGTGTACATTAACAAAGAAAAGCGTCTTCAGCTGTCCAGGATGTTAAACCTGACCGATCGGCAGGTGAAGATCTGGTTTCAGAACAGAAGAATGAAAGAGAAAAAGCTGAATCGCGACCGCCTACAGTATTTCACTGGGAATCCTTTATTCTGATACCTGACATAGTTGTTGTACACACACACACACACACACACACACACACACACACACACACACACACACACACACACACACAGGCACACAGACACGGGAGCAAAATAGGAGCCACACACACATTTAAAAGACTGGTCCCCTCTGCATATTTGATCCCTCATCATCCTGTTTAGACAATTTATTTTACAAAAATCTGGCAAAACCAAGACGCCACTTTTTCTTTTTTTCTTTATTGCAAACAATTCCTGCATTTATTTATTTGTGTTCACATGATTTCGTGTTATTGGCGACACATATTCCAGCAAAGCGCGAAAAACGCGTGGAAATTATTTATATAAACTATATGTAAGGCTTCTACCTTGTGTAACTCCATTTATAAGACGCATGTAATGCACGTTGTGGTGTGAAAACTTAAAATAGACACGACAAATGTTGTATCATAGTCACGAACCTTGTCACATGAACTTAACCAAGTCCTTAAATAACACGAGAAAAAGGGGGGATTTTTTTTCTCTCCAAAGATTCATGCATACTGAAATCTGACGCTTCGCAGGCCTGATAAGTCCCGTCATTTCCTCTGCTTTGAAACACTGGATTGTTTACTAAACCTTGAACCGTCTAGACAGTATAATAAACATAGCTGTAAATGTCTAAATAGGGGGCTATTGCACTTTGGTGTCCCAACCCCCAGATCACAAGAGCTCTGATGCTCTTTCCTGTGTAGTTTCACTCCAGGCTACAAATGTGTGGAGAATATAAGACACTTCTGCGCATCCCGTTTTATATTTAGCGCCTTTTGACACATTGAAGAGCTTGTGTTGGTAGCTGGGATACAATGGAGGATATTCTAACAAGGACCGTCATATGAAAGGATAAGTAATTTTTGAAGTTTATCTGCTTTTCTAGTGTTCTCAATGCGCAAAATGTTTCTTTGACGCCTTCAAATCTGCTGCAAAGGAGAAAGATTTCCAACTGTTGGCATGAAATGCGCGTTTCCATGTGTAATTAACGCAGGTGACTCATTTCTATCTGTGCGCAGCTCCATTATACAGTGACCTCAGGCTGCTTCACCTGAGCACTGTAGCTTGTATCTTATGAGTCGATAAACGCATCGATTCCACACAAAAAGTCGCTTTATTGATCTTTAATTTGATTTTTTCTCCAGCAGCCATCACAGCCCTCGTTTATGAAATAATAGTTTGAAGCAGGATTAATGTTTATTTCATTTGTGATGCGTCACACCTACAGTTATTTCCCAAAAAGCCTATTAGAAAACTGAGTTTCATTAAGCGTTTAATTGGGTTGTCATCATGTCCTACAGTGAAATTACATTACCAACTGTGTGGGATGTTTCACTTTGCTTCTCGGTGTATCCACATGAGGGCAGACTTGCTGCTTTGGCTGCGAGTGGAAATGCAGAGTTGAGTCAAATTTAACATCTAGCCTGCATGAAAATAACTCACTGGAGGAAAAATCCTTTGAAGAGAGGGTTAGTTTACATTTTTATTTTAGTTAACTACGCTTGGTGGCTTAAATTTAGTTATTTTCAACAGATTTTAAATAGTTGAATTTTAAATAAAATGTCCAAGATTACTTCTTTTTGTCAAAGTCAAACCATTCCACAGTAAAAGCTGCAGCTTCCCTAAAAAATAGATTAATACGTTAATAAATTAATCTTAACACACATTATTTATTTCACTCAACACCCACTTTACCTTCTGCAACTCCTGTGTCTTCCAGGCGGCCATTACATTTCCAAGTCATGTTCAAGTGTTTTAAAAGGACAAGCAAAATACATGTAACTCGTGTCTTTGTAATCTGAAACTCTAAAATACAGACTTCGATCATCACCTGAAGGCCGCACAACCTCAAAGGCCGCTGCAATCTGTCTCCACACACTCCAGATGTTATGCTGGCGATGTGGGGAAAATATTCACGTAAATGTGCTTTACAATTAATTTTTATTTCATTTTATTTTTCAGCTGTATAACTGTTGAATTATTGTTTATCTGCGTCTGGCTATTTGCTTTGAAAAATGTAAGAGTGACAGCTACTCCAAAAAAATGAAGGACACGAGGGCACAAGTTTTGCATGAATCTACAATGTCGGTGTCCTTTTTTAAATTATTATACCCTCATTTTTTTTTTATAATAAATATCTACCCTTATGTTTGAAAGAATATTAAATATATTAGTGGATCTCCTGGCATTTACTTTAAATTATCATTATTATTGTTATTATTATTATTATTGTTATATTTGTTGTTATGCCATTGTTTTTCCACTTTTACGGTACTTGTGTACATTTTGTGCGTGTATGAATTGTTGATTATGCCTAAATAATATACTCCCATATTATTTTTTATTTCAATTCAGTGCGTCACATGATATGCAAAATAGCCCAATGTTATATTTGAGCAATTGTCTTTATTAGAAACATGCTTATTAAAACAAAAATGGTGTCCGTGTTGTCAGATGTCTCAGTTAAATGTTTTTTTTTAAATTTCCTTTCTTTTAATAACTAATCGGAGGAATGTATTTTTTACACATATTCACTGATTAAACTTGGGGTTTAACGAGTCTGTATGTGGTTGTTTGTGAATCCTGTGATGCTGAGATGATTTGTATACTACAAATGCGTATTTACAACCAACTGTAAATATCTGAGAGCCTTGAAGACAGATCTGCACATCCTCTTACACAAGATTAAGGATTATTTAAATCTTGGCGCAAAGACCAAAGATATAATTATTCCAAGCTGCATTTAGTGTTTTTTATTTGTAACAGACCTGTAGGATCATTGCGATTATTTTTAGGTACAAAGTGTTTTTATTTTTTCCCCTTCTCAGTTTATCTTGCACACATGTACCTTCCTTGCAGACAAAAACAATGGAGCCCTGAGCAAAAATAATCCCCAGAGTGTGCATACTTTTATTTTTTGGAACATCGGAAATACCTGTGACAAAATGCAAATAAAGATTGTGCTTATAACCTGTGCTAATAATAAAGGACCATTTTCTATCCGTCTTAAGTGGAATTTATTTGAGAGGCTAACTCCAGCAGGGTTGTAATGTTGACCTTCACGCATGCTGAACTTCTGGTAGGTCGATTTAAATGTGCAAATGGTGGATCTTATAGATTCCTTATTTAAATGCTGACATGCAGGAAATCTAAATGGCCGAACACAGTCATATGGTGCTTTTTAATAAAACATTTAATCATATGCAAGAAATAAAACAACTGCTGAAATAATGAAACAATGACAGAGCAAACAGTATATTAAAATGTGTCTTTATTCTGTTTCCATTCAGATTTTAATTCAGATATAATAAAGACAGTAAGTTATATGCAAATACAATTAATGCGGACTCTGGTGTTGGTGTGTGTGGGTGATGTGTGTAAAAACAAACTCAGTAGAAATGTGCACATTGTTTCAGATGGTCTGCAGTTGTCGCCTATGCGCCATATAGGCAGCATTTTACACACACACATACACACTTCCTTTCCTCAGTCTCTCACACAAAGACACACATATCCTTTGAAGCATTTAACTCATTAAAACACGTTATAGAGCTTCAGTTGCGCGCGTAAGAGCCACATGAACGTGGTGTGTTTTCTGTGTTTTATTCTGTGATGTCACTGACATCGTGCCTTTGTTTTAATATGTGATTGTTTCAGTTTTGGCTGCACAGCCTCTGTAAAGTCTGCCAACCAATTTCAAGTCCGTGTTGTAGGTGTCGCTGTTGACCACGTCTGCATCCGCAGTACGAGTGTGTGCGCAGGGGAGAGGAGGCTGCGTCTCAAGGCCATTTTCAAATCTCATTGGTGGGCTTGTCATGTGGTCGGGAGGCATCCTGACTTACACGGAGATTGTTTTTCCTAGATATGTCAGCTTACAAAGGACATCTCTCTCCTCCTAAAGAACTTAACCCCCCAAAATGTCCTTTCCCAGTAGCTCTCCTGCGGCAAACACGTTTCTAGTGGACTCTTTAATTGGTGCTTGCAGGTCGGACAGCTTTTACTCCAGCAGCAACATGTACATGCCGTCTGGCTCAGAAATGGGAACTTACGGAATGCAAACCTGTGGACTCCTGCCGTCTTTCGGCAAAAGAGGGGAGGTCAACCACCAAAATATGGGCATGAATGTCCACTCGTACATACCTCAAATAGATAACTGGACTGATCCGAATAGACCCTGCAGAATAGAGCCGCCCAGTCAGATGTCAAACTGTACATTTTCACAGAGCATAAAGGAAGAGAGTAACTGCTGCATGTACTCCGATAAGAGAGTACAAAAAGTCAGCTCGTCAGAGGTCCCCGCATATTCTAACGTTATCCCCGAGTCTTGTCCTGTCGATGGTCCCGAGATCCCGGTCCCGGGCTATTTCAGACTGAGCCAAACTTATGCGAATGGGAAACACCATGAAAACTACTGCCATGAGCCGCCGAGTCCAAACCCAACATTGATGCAGCTCAGCCGGGTCACCCCGAAACCACCGCAGCCCGCCACGGCGCCTTCAAATTTTGATGTGGAAAAGAAAAGTGAGGACGTCCCGCAGAACCCCGAGACCTCAAGGACACCGGTCCCACGCGTAGAAAGCCCGGACCCCAAGTCCAGCTCCGGGGAGAAAAACTGCTCCATGGAAGCCTCTGTGTCCAGTCCTGAACTGCTACAGAAGGAAGGGAAAGGTGGGTTGGCTACATTGAAAAGCTTTTTATCTTGTGGCGCTGCAGTGCTGAGCTCCAGCATCATAAAACCAAGTATAAAACACAAACAACCCTAAAGTCGTAATGTTTAATGAGAGTCTTTCTCAGGTTGCAGTAATGGGCAACAGAGAATGGTTTTACCATGCAGCATGCACACTGTGTCTCTCTTCCTTCAGGTATTTAAATCCAAAATAATGTACATTATTTTAAAAATATATTTCCACTATCTGCTGCTTTATATGTGTGCATATTGCACGCTTTTCAGAAACTAAAAAAGATTGCTATATTTATTAAAATGCAGAAATTAATCACCCCAGGAGCTTAAAAATTGAGCATTTGCAGATGCCTAATTCTGGATAGTCTGCATCTTTAACTAGAACATGATGAAATAATTGTTGAAAATTCTATTTAAAGTTGGTAATTGTAACAATTTAATCAAACATGATAATGCATCAGAAGCTTTCATGAAATTAATAGATTTTTGGATCATGTTTAAGGCTGCATGATGTGTTCCTGTGTGCGCTTTGATGAGCTGGGGGTTTAATTTCATTTTTATTTTATTAGTAGTGGCATGTACGTGTCTAATAACATCCCGTGCATTTTATCTAGTCTGGGAAAACATTTATATCATGTGTTATTTCCCAGAGGTGAAATCCAAAAGCAGCAGGTGAGTGTGTGTGTTGAGGCGGAATCACTAACCTACAGAAATGTCTCTGATGTGAATCTTTACAGACTGCAAAGGCGACACGACGACGAGCAACTGGTTAACTGCAAAAAGTGGGAGAAAGAAAAGATGTCCCTACACAAAGCACCAGACCTTGGAGTTGGAAAAGGAGTTTCTCTTCAATATGTATCTGACCCGAGAGCGCCGCCTAGAGATCAGCAGGAGCGTCAACCTGACCGACAGGCAGGTCAAGATCTGGTTTCAGAACCGCAGGATGAAACTGAAGAAAATGAACAGAGAAAACCGCATCCGTGAACTGACCTCAAATCTCACCTTTTCGTGAGCGCGCATGTATCTGTGGTTAGCTGTCTTTTTTTTCTTGTCCTCTCATATTCAGTTTGATGCTTCAGTGGCATTGGACGTTTATCTTCAATTTCAACGAAACTGTGACTATATATAAGCCAATTTTAGTACTTTGTGTGGCGTCGTGTATTTGTTTTTATTTTATCACAGGGTAACACTTTTTTGGTCTTAAATTATTGGAGAAGTACATTTCTTCCCACTAGCCAGTAGACATGGATATTCTATTGTGTCGCGATGGCGAGCTGTTTTGGAAAAAAGAGTTACTCTTTATTTTTCAGTCATGAAAGCACATTTATTGTCGTGTAGTGCAACATTTGTTTTACAGTAAGTGCAAGCCATTTGCTCCACAGTGAAATGTTTCTATGGCGGAAAAACAATGTTAATCTGTGACTTTATTGCATGTTTGTGGCATGTTATCTTGCAATAAATTGTCAAATAACCTCATTGTGTTTTGTGTTATCAAAGTGTCTTGTCTACAGTTATTGGTGACTGCTGTATCGTTGTCGAAATGTGCAGTATTATGTTGGATGACGCGGGCAGTAGCGTGCGTAAAATGGTGTGGATGAGGATTAAAATAGCAAGAAAAATACAATCTCTTTTGCACTCCACTGCAAATAAATAAATAAATAAATAAATGCTGTTCCAAAAAATGTTCCTAATGTGTTTCTAATTTCACTAAATTAGAAACAATTATGCTCCGACTTCGTCCGACGATGACTCTCCAAGCTTAAAAACATGAAAATGTTTAGTTTGTGGGCAACCAGCAGTGTTAACACGTGCGGTTTTTAGTTGTTAGACTACAATACTTAACCTATTATTATACGCTTTATAAGATACACCAGCTCCCTGAAGACACACTAAACTACACTCAGTGATAATGGTGAATTTACGCACAAGATCTAAACCAAAATAGTCTGAATAAAACAAAATGTTCCAGGTTTTTCTGTGTCCACGAAGAGCGCAGCAGAGACACACAAAGAGGCGGAGGCCGTGTAATCAAATAAACATGGTGTTTTTATTTTCAGGCCTGCTTGTGAATAAACTAACAGTCTGCGCGAACCATCAGATGGTGGGAAGTTATGTTCAAGCACAAATTCACAGGCATGGACGCTTCCTTCCGTGTGAGCGACGCAGGGCCTCAGTAGCCACGTTGCATTGCTTTTAATTGCCCAGAATAACTTCTTATGTTGTGTTTATGTGCGATCAAATGACATGTAACTGTCAGGCTGATCCTGTCTGCAGATTTGACCTCTAACTGGACGATTTCCCCTTTTAAAAGTGCTGCTTTTTCTAACCTGAAGGTCATCAAACTCTCTTGAAAACAAGGATAAAAGTCTACTTAAAAAAGGCAACATGTATATTATATTTAAATTAGACCCTTCAGACAGCAACACACAGATGGACTTTGCTTCTCAATGTCTTTTTTCCTTTTTTTTTTTATTGACGGCATGTATAATCACACGCACCTCATAAAACATTTATTGATACATAAAGACATCATTGCCCTCCTTTGAATGAATACAATAATTTCACAACTGCCGTTTCCGGCTCAGCTTTTAAAAATTAAACCAACCCAGAAAATATGTTTCCTGGCCGAATATTAACAATGGATACAGCGCATTGTGAACGGAAATGGCGTCTGTTATTTTACAGCATGTTATTACATCTATTTTACGAGGACTCCGTAAGTCTATAAAGCATTTTACAAGCATTGAGGGTATCAAGACGATATTAGTGTTTTCTCATACATTGAGATACGGGGTGTTGGTGCACTGTGTGTGTGTGAGGGACGAAATGTGTCTTATTCCTTTTTTTTTTTTTTTTTTTTTGAGCTGCTTGTATTGTTGCAGCGTCCTGCAGCCACCCGCACATGAGAAACAGAAGAAGAAGAAGAAAAAGCCATTTGCATTCATTTGAGCGATTGTTTTCTCCCTCCAGTCACATCTGATGGGGCTTTTTATTATTTGAGAAATGAAAAGCTAAATTAAACCTGACGAAAAAAAGAGAGAGCGCAAGGGCAGGATTGATTTACTCGCTGTATTGGTAAATATGACCACGTGATCCATGTAACCAATCCCTGTAGATGCAGGCCAGGAAAAATACTATGATTGTTCATAGAGGGAAGCTTCCCGTAACAGTGCAACCCTTATTATATGAGTAGGAAGAGATCAAAAATGTCTTCCAGTGGCACTCTCAGTAACTGCTATGTGGACGCTATCATGGGGCAGGAGCCGGAGGATGTGTACGGTGCTCGCTTTATTCAGGCTCCACACTCGGTGACCCCGAGGCCGTCAGGTGCTGGGGACAACGCAGACTTCTCCTCTTGCAATTTCGCACCCAAGTCCGCCGTTTTCCCGTCGTCTTGGTCCTCGGTTCACCCGCAGGGGATTTATCATCCGTACGTGCACCACCACCACCACCACCAGTCCCATCTCCCCGCGTCGGACGGCAGATATGTAGGCGTCCGCTCCTGGATGGACCCCATCTCCAACCACGTTTCGTTCGCCGGATTTCACCCCAGCAGTCGGCAGTACGGGACAAAGCCAGAAGTCTTGCCACCGAAAGCTACAGAGTGCGACACGTTGGAGGCTGAGGCTCGGCCGCTCGCCGGCGAATTCGCGTGTGGAGTATCGGAGTGTCCAGAAAAAGCGAGCAAAGAGCACAGTGGAAGTGAGCTTTCGAGCCACAGCGAGCCCAAAGAGGAGAAACAACAACAACTTGACCCAAGTAAGTAAACGAAATAGCCAATCCTGATTTACAACCCTAAGAACTGTATGAGCTGGGTGTGTAAAACTGGAGGTTTTACTAACCTATAAAAGTGTCTCGTACTATACCTCGCTCGAGAAGGGAAAAACCCGCCCTGCTAAGGTTATTACAGGGGATCCTAAAGTTTTTCATGTCACAGTACGCTTAAAATAGATACACATTGCTGCATTTTGATGTGATTTTCCCTGACTAAGACTTTAGCTATGGATATGTTACTTTCTATATCATGTTATTTCCCCTCCCTGTAAAAACAGGACAACATGTAATGGAGATAGTCATCTTTACGCACTGTCTTTAACATGAAACAATTTCTCATTTTACTTTTGATCCCCTTAAACCACACCCGTGTCCTTACACGTCCCCGAATTTGAGAACCATTTACCCAAAAAATGAAAAACCTCCTCCTCCTCAAACATGTCTCTCACTTCACATATGTATCTGTTTTTCCAGACAACCCTGCAGCAACCTGGATTCACGCGCGCTCCACGAGAAAGAAGCGATGCCCGTACACAAAATATCAGACTTTAGAGCTGGAGAAGGAGTTCCTCTACAACATGTATCTGACAAGAGACCGACGCTATGAGGTGGCCCGCATACTCAGTTTAACCGAGAGACAAGTGAAGATCTGGTTCCAGAACAGGAGGATGAAAATGAAGAAGATGAACAGAGAGAGGAGCGGCAAGGACCTGCTATGAAATCACTGCCAACTCACACATTTGTATACCCTAAGGAAGCCATCTGAACAATTAAATTCATTTTGGCAGGAGCCTCGGTAGCCATTTTAAAACATTTTTTAGATCCCTCTAGGTATAGCGTAATATTGCGTGTCAGTGTCATAACGTGTTGGCCAAATATGCATCAAAATCACATGTGCAGGAATTTGTCTTTGGTGGATATAAGACAGGATCCGTCTCATATTAAAAAAAAATGTTATTTGTTTTACACAACCACAAGCAGCCTGTGCTTGGAGGAAACGTGCCTATGTGTATTGCTTTTATAGTTGTTAAGAATTTGGAGTTGTATATAAAACATTTTCACAGCTGAAACACTCTGACTGCTGTCTGTTGTCGGTACACACACGGAGATTACGCACGGTGCTTTGACCCATTTCCAAGACTTTAACTCTGAAATAACTGACAATGAGGTGCGTGACTGGAAAATAGGCGTGTTTTTATTTTAGAAATGATCCATTTTAACTTAGATATCAATATGCATCTTACTATTTTCTTTAATTTATTTAAAGCTCCCTCATCGTGTTAAAGTGGTGCGTAATTCCACTGAAGCCAGTAAAATTAAAGCATTAAAAAATAAGATAAAAAATCCCCTGAGGCCTTGTTTTTAGTAGGATCGTGAAGGCAGCACCAGGCTTTGCAGCCAAACAGAAAAATACAACACAACCTTAAATAGTGAGCTGGATTTTCTTATTTGCAGCAACATTAAAGGGATTAAATTCGCCTGTAAGGACTACTTGAGGTTCCACTGTATGTGAGATTTCACTTTTCTCCAAAAAGTTGTAGAAGTAATAAAGTGTTTACGATTGGGAGAGGTGTTGCGGCGGATTTCCAATTTATTGTCCAACTTGTACGAAGAATGACTTTAAAGCAGGAAGAACCTCGCTCCAATAAAGCTATAGAAATGGCTAGACGTCTGGCCTAAATGACTTTATGGTCCTGGCCAGTAATTACACTCTCCTTTGAAACCCCCTTTTTTGCTGTGGCGTTTGAGTCTGTTGCTGACAAACAGAATGTAGACACTTTTCCACAGGGTGTCTGGTCGATGAATTGTTTCAGAGGAAATCACCCCCCACCTTAATGGTCACGTTTATTCACCACCTGCACTTCCCACCGATGGGAAAAAAAACTTCACTTTGACTGGTGTCCAGTGAGATTTTCTACTTTTTGTTGAAAATTTAAACCCAGGCCATGTGTCCTAATTTTACCTCACATTGGCTGCACCAGAGGACACAAAAAACATCATGCTCATTTTTGGGTTGTTATTAAATTTGCGCAAATAAATCAGTGATGACAGTTTTTACAGCACTGGTCAAATCACATGGAAAACCCCCGAATTACGCAGAACTAAAAACAATCTGTTTACCTCAGCTGGAGCTGCAGGCTTCATTTGGGGAAAGTGATGAGAGCGCTAGAGGGCGATATTGGTCTGTTGGTCTCAGTCACAGCGGTTCATTCAACCGCATGGAACATGTAGGCAGCACATGGACCATACCATACAACATGCATTCGTGGATTTATTGATTTAAATGAAAGGTGCATTTTATAGGCTACTGTAGGGTCTTATCTCTAGGTAACCTTTATAAAACTGCATGTTTTTGGATTGTGAGCGTGTAAAAGTCCAGATTTAGTGTTGAGCTCTGTTTTTAAGCAGTGATAATGGATAATAATGCAGCTTTCCGGCCTGAATCGCAAGCTGATGTTACTGGGGAAAGAAGAGGAAGAAAGGAGAAGCAGGCTTCTGTAACATTTGTAAAATTTAAAGTCCCAATTTCATGCAGGCCTATTTTAACATACATTTATTTTTAATCTCGTGATAGTTTTCAGACCCCACTCCTTAGCAGTGCGTCATACATTTGCACAAAGAGCAGCCAAATTCAATCGACACAGAACAAGAGCAGGCTGAGTGCACCATTACAGACGAAAACGAACAATTATAGTCCATTTTAAAGGCCACACACTCCTCTAAACGACATCAAATTGTATAATTGCGTATTTTTGGGTGCTTTTAATGTCCTTGAATAATTAGATTTATATGTAAGCTCGGAACTCTGGAGCTACTAGTCATAACAGAGACACTGTGACACTGCGCCTTGGGTTGTTTATTCCCCCATACAGTGAACGCTCACACTTGTGTTTTTGTTGAAATCATTGACACAAACAAAGCGGAGTGATCATGACCACAGACAAGGCACACTGGGCCTTTGGAAGACGGCTGTCTTTATATAGATATTTCTTTTTCCAAATGGTAACGCATGTATCAAGGGGAATATACACAATTAACACAAGCACGTCAGCCATTATTAGAATGATCAAATATATTTACAATTAAAAATAATAATTAAGAAAGACCACAATTAATGTTTTTGTGAGGCTTTGCGCAAACACAATTTAGGCCCATGTCTACTTATCTCCATTATCAAATGCAAAACCCACAGACTATGAAGCTTTAGGCATTTACTCTCTAGATATTATGGACAGTATTTGGTGATAACGCAGCGGTTTGGTGTGTTTTGATTTAGTCTGTGGAGGAAGAGCAAGAGGCGCCTCCCTCAGTGTTCCCTGCTCTGCGTCCTCGACAGTTAAAGTGAACATAACTCCAGTCCTGATGATTGTAGTCATGTTCAAAGTATCCACACACTGACAGCCAATGGCAGCGCTCACTCAGACAGGACACAGAATATTGAAGCAATTACAGTAAATGTTGAACTGATTGTTTGCGTCTCTCTGTATGGCCTACATGTGTGACACAGCGGACTGGTGACTGTCACGGCTGGAAACTTGACCCCAGAATGACGACGTTCATCACACGCTGTTTACACGCACACAATAACTGCATCAAACATGTTCTTTGATAACGAGGAAGATGCGATTATAAGGGGGGATTTCTGTCAACATGCCGATTTCCACGCAGTCATTCTCACTGTACGGCTATACATAGTCATGTGTCTGTTTGCACACAGGTCATGAGTGGGGGTCAGCTATTTCACCCTGGTCATTAGCTACAGTCATGTTACACCCCGTTAGATGCCACGCACTGTCTGTCCAGTGTGATTGCTGTGGAGGCTGTGTGAAGATAATAGCTGTGGAAATGAGCTGTGTGTCAGTGATTAGGAACACACACACTAATGTTCGGGCTTTTCCACAACAATGCTGAACGGTATGCTGCGTTCAGTGTCTCAGAGAAATACATTCAGAGGACAATATGGGAAAGTGTGATACATGTACATGTTTGAGGTTGTAGTCATGACCGTGTGTGTGTGTGAAGCTAGTAAAAATACTCCATTACACGTAAAAGTCCTGCGTTAAGAATATAAGTAGGCTACAAGTTCGTATTTTTCGCAAAATGTAGTTTACATAAAATATCAAAACTCTGACTCTTGTGAGTGTTTTACTATTGTTGCATTATTGGATTATTATTACTACTAATGCATTTATGTGGACATTAGCATTACACTGTTGTCGTTGGTGGAGGTGCGCTATGCATTTTGCGCTATTTTGGGTAGTCTGGTCAATTTTACGCACAGAACATACGATGATTTTAAAACAAAATAATATATTAATATTAATTCAATGGTAACAATGCATCAAGTAAAACATAGGTCCATAGGTAAGCAAAACGTAGGCCTACAATATTTCCCTCTGAAGTAGCCTAAAAAGTAGCATTGGATCAAGTAGCCGAAAGTAAAGTACAAGGGTGAAGTCAAATAATTTGGGAAACTTTTTGGTACATTACCAAGAAAACCAACTGGAATTCTGAAGACTATCTTGAGTACTACATTTAGAGCTTCTCTGCTATATTTCTATGAAGAAAATATGTTGTCGAGTAAAATAATCTAGAAACTTTGGACCTTCAAAAACACATCAAGAACCCCGACCTCCGATGACACCTTCACGTAAAATGGGACAATCGTGTGTTTATTAAATGGTTAAATCCATTATTTTTAGGAGTTCAGTAATTAATTGATTAAATCATTATTGCAGAGAAAAGAGAGACACAACATGCCACACGTCCTTGGTAATAAACTAATAATAATAATAAAAATAATTGTTTTATGTATTAACAATGCAATAAGCAACCAAAAACCTCAAATTTGTACTTCACTACAGTGCTTTAGTAAATATACGTAGTTACATTCCACCACTACCAGCAGGCTACTTTAATTCCACATTATATTATCTTTAATCTAACTCAACGAAAATCACATTAAATGTAAAACAATCGAGGTCTATGACGTCATTTGACACGCAGTTATTCTATATAGTGACATCACATGTTGTAAACACTCGAACGTGCTACAGTGTGTTTCTATGGGAACAAAAGAGACTGTAGCATTAGAGTGGAATCGTCCACACTGATGCTGCAGAGCTGCAGTGACACCTTATTCTGTGTGCTGTTGGAAAGCATGTTGAATCACAGGCTAGACTATCTGGGACTGTGTATAACGAATAAGCAATGACAGTGTGAAGTGCTAGTGTGCATGTATCAGTCTTTGGTTTATGTTTTTTTAGGCGACATGTTATTGACACTATGACTAAATTCTTAATCCCTGTCCTTGGATATGGACAGAGCGGGGTGTAAACATGCAGCAATGCAATTGTCAGTGCAACCATTATGTTAAAAAAAAAAAAGAAATATTCTAGATATTACGGCCTCTGCATATTTGGGTTCACTGCCGAAGAATTATGCCGCACAGACAGAATAATTAGATCTCTGTGATGAAAATAAACCATATAATCCGAGCCTGTAATGTCACATTACCACATCCTAAACTCCCCTCTAAGGCTCCTCTCTTTTTTAAGCTCGTGTCAGATTTATTTGCTTATTTAAATTCGCTTCAGCAACAATAATGTCTTTATTTTAAACAGCCTATTTTTCAACTAAAAACAAGCACTATGGGGACTTAAACACACATGCAATAGACATACTATTTACTCCAACGGTTGGCTTCAATTTAACTGGTATGAAATAAAGCTAATACGGATTTTTGTACTTAAATCGGATTAGTAAGGAATACGAGAACAGGAAGGCAGAAAAGCCCAGCAGACTCATGAATTAATAAACAGAAATGGAGAGCTGCTGCTGCTGCTCTGTGAGACGTGTTGTCCTGGTGGTTGCCACATCTTCATTAGTCCTCTAGGTGTCTAATGTTACAGCTTTCTGTAGGCCTATAGCTTACCGCCTCCATCCACCGGCCACATGTGTTCCTATATTTAACTAACTAAATCACCAAACTAAACTTGGGTCAGTTTGGTATTTTTTTAATGTATTATTTAACT